TGCAGGCTAGCGGTGCTACACTGCTGAGCTTGGCTGCCTCAAGCAGATCTATCAAGGGAAAAAGGGAACATCTCCAAATCAAGTGCAGAATATAAAAAGGCAAAATGCGAATTTCTGCCAAAAGAAGCAAACATGGCAGGAAAAGAAGAGGGAAAAAGGGAAAATAAAAAAAAAAAAGAGGAAAAAAGAAACCACCCACCCTCTCTGCCCTCCCTCCTGCCACCCCCACGTACCCCACTCCTCGCCCCCCCACTCTCCCTCTCTCTCCCTCATTTTTGTTTTCCCCCCCTGAAAGCAGAAAGCTGAACTGCCAACTCTTTCACATACTACCCACCAGATGAGGTGGGGCCTCTCTCCGGCAACCACTTAGCTCCAGAAATGATGTGAGGGTAGAAAAAGGCCACTCTGCTGGAAATTGTCACTCTTACACAAGCTGGCTCTATTCAGTCCCTGATCAAAGCACTGCCTTACAGAGAAAGTCGATTTGCACGCCCTGGGACAAAATAATCTAATTTACAAGCTCAGGCTATAGAACTTTCTTTAGGGAGGAAGGGAGAAAAAAAAAAATACCAAAAAGAGAAACCACATAAACCACCCCCCCACACACCAGAAATATCATCTATGATTTCTTGCTGCTTAAGACAGCAGAAAGAGGAATTTTAGCATATTAATCTCAAGACAAGATAAGTTTATACTTGTCTGTGTGAACAGTTTATTCACTGCAGGAACTGGGAGTCTGCGAGTCCACTGAATTAGCAAGTCAGCGAGTTAATTTGGGAGAGCACGGGGACACCACACACGGGACCTCCTCAAAGCCAGGCACCTATCTGCTGCAAAGGCCTCTCTCCTGGGAGATCTGCTCCCCACCAGCTCACACACCGGGTCTTCTCCGAGGCCGCCGGCGATGCGGCACCCCGGGAGGTGTCAGAGTGGTGGCCAGAGCCAAGGCTCTCACTGCACCCACCCAGGGCACCTCGGCAGGACAAATTCAGTGCCACTGAAAAGCCCTAATTGGCACCCAGTTTTCAGGGAAGGACCAGAATGTGACCGTACAGAAGCAGGCTCTTGCAAGGATGCTGAGAGCGTGTGGCCCCTGCCCAGCACCAAGGAGCATCTCCTCTGGCACCACACAGGGAGGGAGGTGCTCTCCTCCCCTGCTCCCCTCCCTCCACGTGTGCCCAGACCCAGCATTTCCCACGGCCAAGCCAGACCCTGGCAGCTTCCACCTGAACTTACCGGAAAATGAGGTAGAGAAACTTGCCCGTTGGCCTTGACGCTCCGATGCATTTCCCGCTGGAGCTGCTTCTTGCTCCCAATTCTGTAGGGGGGGATCCCATCTCTGCACAGGAACAGAGGGCACCGTCACTCAGGGCTCTCCCCACGCCCTACATCCAGGTGCTGCTCCATCACCTCTGAAACCACCCAGGCACGCCCCAGGCCCACGTTCCCAGAGGTGCTGAGCCCTCTGGATGTCACCTGAAGCCTCAAACATCTGGCGGCCTGGGAGGTGCCTGTGCCACCATCTACACGGGTGTGCAGTCATTAAGCAAAAGCTGAAAAGAAAGCTGAAGGCAACACCACATGGGAAGACACCCAACGATCCCATCAGCTCCAGTTCTAACACACCTTATGGAATGGCCCTTCCAGTGCTGGGTTTCTGCTTCTGCCCTTTCTTTTTGTTGTTTTATCACCGCTGGATGACACTAAGAGCACAACTTTCCTCAAGCTGTGAAACACACCACGGAGTGCTGGCACAGTGGAAGAAGATGGATGGCCACCAAAAGGCTGCTCCCTATCTCCAGCCCTCCTTAAGATGCAGGCTGCTTCTGCTGCCCCGAGGCTGGCCAGCACAGGCAGGTCACCGCAAGGCATGAGCAGAGCTGGGCCATACCCTCTGGGCAAGACACTGGTCCCCTCAGCCATGCTAGCTCATGGTCAGGAAGCCATGAGACCAGGTGAGAACCACGGGTGGCAACAGAGCCCTGCACAGCCTGCTCGAGGCAACCTGGGGCGTTCTCATCTGGCCACACAGAAAGTGACCTCAGTTGGGATGAAAGGGCTACAGGCAGCGGGGACAGGCGGAAGAGCATGCCTGGAGATCCTGAAGGTCTCATTCCACCCCTGCCCTCAGACTGGCTGAATAACCTTGATCTCTAGTCCCATCCCTTTCATCCACCTGCCCCCACACCTGACTCATCTCCTGAGCACAGAAAATAGCTCCTGCCCCAGCTGGAGTGGCGGCGGCCGAGCCGGCAGCAGGGGCCCCACACTGACATGTGAGGCACAAGGAAACACCTTCCCAGGGACACCAGGCCCCTTCTCTTGAGGAGGATGACCAGGTGCTGTTGCCCTACACTCAAGGTTTGAAGCAAATCATCACAGGCCTTTGGGAAGACCTTGGCCAAAGCATTCTCTCACCATTATATGGTTTTAATGAGTAAGATGAAGCTGCAAAGCCTGGAGTGGAAGATTGGAACAATTTCATCTTAATAAACTTGAAAAAAACCCTTTATAATAGAAGAGAGCACACTGGGACTGCAGAGAAAGCCCCTGATGCCACAAGATGAACACTGGCCTCCTGTAGACATGGTCCATGAGTGCATGCTACGTTACAGGTGAAAGGGGCTAACTGTCCTCGTGCCCCCACTGCACAGCACGGGGCTCTGGAGCACTCTGTGGGGAAGCAGCTTGGCACACCCTGGCCATGACAACCAGCCATGGCCACCACTCGCAGCCGCTGGTGGCCACCAAGCACCTCTGCTCCATGGACCCACAGGGCAACGTGACCTGGGGCACGTGACACACCTTTAGCTTTGGGAGAGGATGGTGGAAAAGCAAATCTAAGGTGAAACCCAGATCACCTTCACCTTCAGAAAAGCATTTGGTAACTGGTGCTTACTCAGGTACAGGTCTCTAAGAAAAGACCTTCAATATAGGGAATAACCCACAGAACAGGCAAGAACCAGAAAGGAAGCAAAAGTGGCAGCACGAGCATGTTACATGTGTGCACACACATGGACTAAACCCATTAACATGTTCAGTCAAAGAGAAGGTGTCCTCTGTAAATGGCAGTCCAAGAGGCCAGATGGAGAAGAGCAGGGAAGCAGATGAAGGTCTGTGCCTTCAACACGAGGCACCCAAGGACACGACCAAGGGACAACAGGGAGCCCCAAAGCCCTGCTGTGCTCCCCACCTCCCTCCAGGTCTGCAAGCACAAGATGCTGTCCCCAACTCCTCTGCTGTGGCCACCGAGCTGGGAGCACCTTGCAAAGTGTCACCAAGCAAGGTGTCACAGCTCTGGTGGGACCATCTCTGCCCACAGGGACAGTCCTGGGACAGGCTATGGGGCAGGAACAGGGACTCACACTGTTCCCAGGCAGGGTGGCTTGAAAACAAGGAGAAAAAGCAGCACTGACCCAGCAGCACAGCTCCTCACTTTAAGATCTGCCCTTGTTCAGTTCAGTACAAAACCTTCCCTTTCTTCTAAAAGTACTCTGGTTGCAACAGAAAGCCCCACATCAAACCTCCTGCTCTCTGCTTCTCCAGCCCTGCCTTCTCAGGAGAGTTTTACAACTTCTAACAACATGCAGAATTAAAAAAAAAGGTTTAAAAGATCCCAACACACCCAACCAAACCCCAAACGAGGTATTTCACTGGGATGGGAAGGCTGTGGAGCAGCTCTGGAAAGTCACCCTGGGGAATGGGGAAGGACTTCTACAGCCACTTTGATGAGTGCTGCCTACATCTAGGCCTTCCACAAAATACATGGGGAAGATGGACAACTCCAGGGTTGAAGGGATGCCCAGCAGGTGACCCTCAGCTGCAGGAGGGACAGATGGATGGAGCTGGAGCCAGGCTCAGCACAGCAAGAGACAGGGAGCAGAGGGGAACCCTGATGCTGAAGCAGAGTCCCCCTGACCAGGAGAAAGTACCTTTGAAATGAGAAAGCTGAGCTTGGCTCAGGTCTCAGGGCAGGACAAGGGTTAACCCCAGCTCTCCAGGTGTCCCCTCTCCCCTTGCTCCAGCAGCAAACATTTGCACTCACTTTCTTGGCTACTAAAAGCTGCAGACTGAAGAGCTACAGAGTTTAGGCACTAAATAGTCGAGTTTAATTACAAACATTTCAGCTAACCAGGCTGGGGCTAAGCCAATCTGTTTCTGGGGGAAACACTAGTTTGAAGTCTTCTACCCAGTCAGCTGCCATTTAAGCTGAGCCAATTATCTTAGCCTTTTGACTCAGATGTGCCTGACCTAACCTGAATGTAGTTTTACTGCTGCTTTGAAATATCAGACTCATGCGCATATGCATTCACTCCCATCTTCATTTGGCAACGGCTCTGAAACAAGCCTCTGATCTTGCCAACATCAAAAGCCTGGTTTGTAAGATAAGGTAATATTTGAAGTTTGCTCAGCAGCATTCCCCTGTGTCCAAAGTAAATCCATAAATAAGATATAAGCAAATAAAAAAAAAAAAAATCCCCTTTCCTCTCCCCCCCACCAATCAAGAAATGGAAATAATAAATTTGCATGATGCTTTGTGGCTATCACAAAATATATATGGACAGACTGATCCTTGGCTGGCATCTATCATAGAATGAAAAAAGGCAGATTGTGCATTATTTGGAGACTTCTCCTAATGCCAGGACAGTCCAGATTTAGATTTATTTAAAAAAAAAACAACCCTTGCTTTACTGCTAGGTCTGACAGACTTTTCCAGAAGAAGTTTTTCCTCTTCAGTTGATACCAACATAAGCCAAAAGAACTGATCTGCCTTCGTGCTGAGCAGAATAAACCTGGCTCCTGTGTTCACAGGGGTGAAACCAGTGGGCAGAGGGGCCCTGGGCACGGCGGGTCTGTGCCCCAAACAGGTTCCCAGCAGAGCTGGGTGGCAGGAGAGGCTGCCCACGTCCCCCCCATGCTGGCAGCCTCCCCTCACCCCTGCAGAGGAGCCCTGCCAGCCGCCTCCACTCTGCGGCCAGCCTCCCCAAGTGCCCCTTTGCCTCTCCCTGGCCAGGCGTGCCCGGCGTGCCCGGCGGCCGGCGCTGGGGATGCCCGCAGCAGGACACATTCCCCTCGGGGAGCTGAGGGCAGTTTAATCAGCCGAGCTCCCCCAGCCCCCCCCCCCGCCCCCGGGGACAGGCAGGCTCCTTTCAGGCGCTGCTTTCTGGGGAGCTCCTATTCACTTGTTGGAGCGGATTTCAAAGCGGGCTGCTGCCCTCTCATCCCCGCTAAGCTCCCCTGGACTAACAATGGGCTGAAAGCGATTCAGTTAAGCCTTTCATCCACCATGCACTTTATTTCTCACTCAGTGCTCTCATCTGTATAAGGCCTACAATTGGCATTGCTGTGAAGAGAGGGTATAATCCTAGCCCTGTGAATCCCAAGTGACCCTACACTGGTCCAGAAATGACTAACCCAATGAATGCTCTGTTGACACATGATCACATACAACCAGAGCCAGTAAGAAGAAATAAAGAAGTCACCCTATGATTCAGCTCTTTTATTTAATGCCAATATTGTTCAATAAACGAATCTGGTGGGACAACAAACTGTTTTTTTCCGTAATATCAGTTCAAAACACACATGTGCATTAAAATAAAAAAAAAAAAAGAGCTTTTGTTTACGCATCAATGATTTTTGGTAAATCCTGTTTTCTGTTGTGCATCATCACACAGCACTGTGCACTTGAAAAACCCTCTCCAAGGAGCATGCACTAATGGCTGGACCCATCTGACAGACACTGGAGAAGTTTCACCTATGAGATGAAGACCAGGAGTGCAGCACTCTTTACAAGTAGGCTCTTCTAGAGCACTTGTACTTCAGTGGAGACCATGAAACACAAATGGCAACATCTGCCTTCCACCCAGCTGAAGAAAATGGTCCTCAGGAGCACTAAGTGAGTCTTACTGCCTCCTCTACCCCCCCTGGCACAAAAGCACCATTTCTCTCCTGCTGGGGAAAGCAAACTGAGGAAGAACAGCCAAATGACTTGCTCCCAGTTGCACACTTCTCAGCAGAGTCAGGAGGAAAAGAGAGATCCTGCAATTCCCGGGCTCAGCCACAGCACCACCTCTCATCCCTATGCTCCTGAAACACCCAGACCTGATCCATGCAGCTCCACTCAAATGCCTCTTTGAAGACTGCCCCAGCCACACCAGATGAGCAGCTATTTGCCCCTTCAGGTCACCGGCCTTATTAATGCACATTCTGACATTAATGACAAACCTTAATTACAGAAAGTACTTCCTACAGGAAGTAATCTCCTCCTCTTTGATGACTGATAACTAGTTAAGGAAGCCTGGCCTTAAGACAAAGGCTCAGGGAGATGTGCTCCCTGGGTTAGTCAGGCAGCACCATCAGCAGAGGGGAAAACATGTTTGCTCAGCTGCCGTTGCAAAACCCCACCAGAGGGATTCACCCTTTCGCTCCATCTGGCACCTCCAGCGACCGCACGAGGAGCAAGCCTACCATGCCCTGCCACTCCTCCCAGTGCCTAGGGAAGGGCGAGCAGAAGCAGGGTGGTGAGGCACAGCTGTGGGGCCCAGCAGGACATGCACAAGGCCCCTGTCCAGCAGGAGGTACTCACACGCTGCTGTCCGTCATGGACATGGAGTCGTCCGTCAGGGCATCGCTGGATATCTCGCTGTCGTTCGCGCTGGTGGCTGGGGCAAAAACGTAGCCAGAATTCACATGGTATGGGTTAATGGGGTCGTTCCTCTTGAAGGACCTAGGGACAAGCAAAACAGGAATCTAGTGACCAGCCAGACGTGGGCTAGAGACACAGGTCTCATGGTAACGCTCTCCTCATGGGAACCGTGCACAGTGGCCGCTCAGCCTCTGCAGAAGCAAGTAACCACCCACTGCCCAGACCAGCAGCAACCAGGACATGCTCTGTCTAAACACACTCAAAGTCCAACTTTAAAGATGTTGCTTTTAGCACTGGAAGCAGGCTTTAGGAAATCCCAGGAAGCACCTCTTGATACCTTCAAAAACTTAGTCCTTAAAGCTTGACGCTGCACTGCTAGGTCAGCAGGAGTTTTGCTGTTGGCATCAGCAGGCAAAAGATCAAGAAGTTCATGGCTCAAGTGCCACTGAAAGACACTGAGGCACCAGCCAACCAATGCCCAAGTCTCTAACAACAGGAGTTCAGGCACCTTTGGGAATACAAGTTGTGGTGTCTGCGTTGCCTGAAACAAGAAAACTGCCTGAAACTACTGGAGCAGGACCACCACACATCAGAGGAGGCAGGGACAGGGCTGAAATCTGCTGCCTCAGGCTTGGCCTCCCAAAGATGGGTGCCATCTTCCTGGCATTATAAAGACATGCCATAAAAAGGCCCAGTTTTTAGAACCCACTGCTTTTCCAACTTGTAGCTCTCTGCCTAGAGCTGGGTGGGGAAGAGGAGGAGGAGGAGGGATGTGAGAACAGGAGCAGCAAGCTGTGTTAAGGGGCATGTGGGTTACTGACACCAACACCTTTGGCTTCACTTGGAGATGCAAACCCAAAGCCCAGCCTGAATGTTTGAGTTGAGTACCTGAGAGTGGTGTGAAAAATTCATGGGCTGTGACAGAGCGTGGCAGGGTCACCACAGCAGGGTCACCACCCAGGGAGGGGGTGCTGGGGCCTGGGTGTCCACCCAACACCACTCCAACTTCCCAGCCAGGATCAATATACATATCTTCGGCAGGCGATAAGGGGATTATGCAGGGAGGTTTGAAAGCCCCATGTTGAGGTGCACATTTTGTTCCTCTTCCAGGGCTAGATGGGGTTGTTAAGCCTCTGCCTTTGTATATCAAAGCCAAAGGCCTTGTCATCTGATAAGGGCTGCTGATTTTAATAATTAGGGCCACTTACCCAGGACTTGGGGGCCTAAGGAATGTGCCAGCAGGCTCGGCAGGTTTTTTTTTTAATGGGCTTTCCACCTCCCTGCCCCCACGGGGGTTGGAGGGGACCAGCAAACAGCGATGCCCTCCCACCCCTCTCCACCAACCTGGCACCCCAGCCCTGCCACGCATTACTGCGCCCCACGCACCCAAAGAAGGAGACCCCAACA